AAAAATCTGTAAAAATGGATAGCGAATTTTCTTTTTATTTTGAAACGGCGGAATCATGAATGGGTAGAACTTACACTGATGGGAACCAAAAGTATCTCCTGGCTAACTTTACTAAGTCTAATTTTTGGGAGTTAGAAAATCCCCGGACCCATTTATATCAAATTATTAGTTCATTAAAACTGAACAATGTTTAACTTTTATTATAAAAATAACCCTTGTTATTATTCTTCATGTTCCTACTGAATTGATTGAGAACCTTCTTGTTTATTAATCGTCACTAAATATTTACATATTTTTTTGCTAAAATAAAATTAATTTTAATGGTCTAGTTCAAAAGTTTTTAAAAAAAATGGGTTCAGAATAAAATTAATCTTGCTTTAAACGTTCACAAAGTATTTATAACTGCTAAAATAATAATAGTTGAAAGCATAAAAATTAGGAATAATTAAAGCAATCAAGCAAATTTTCTAAAATTAAATATTGTGAAATTTTTTCAATATAAAAATTTACAAGTTATTTTCTACAAATAATGCAATGGTATTCGAACACACTAATAATGAATTTATTAGTTGATTGATGCAATAATAGACTTGGTGTAATTTTGCAGGAAATTTGAGAAAATTAAAGCAGAAAGAAATGTATGGGCTAAAAAAACTTTAAAGAAAGGGTAGAAATTTTATTATTAGCCTAGTTTTAACCATATTTATTTAGAAGCATTAATAATGATTCGTTGAAAGGTGTTATGCGTATGTGATAATCGCACCAAAAGAAATAAATGAATGTTACCGTTACGCAATGCAATACATACATACGTACGTACGTACGTACGTATATATTTCCAACAAATTTGATAATTCTATCTGAAACATATTCATTCATTGCGTCAAAATGTCAATTTCAAAACGACCAGAAACAATCGACAATAACTTAGATGTTACTAAAATATCCAGTGAAGTTAGCCAATTAAATTTAGAGGATAAATCACAGAATTTTATTAATGAAATTATTAAAGAAGTGTATAACTTGTATATTGAAGAAGCTTTGAAAAACAAAACTTTCAGTTCAATATTTGACACCTTAGAACAATTTCTAGCAAAAAAAAAGCAAAATCCGGATAATATAATCAAATATTGCTTAGATAATCAATCTGATCCTATGATTCAGTTCATTCTTGCATCTTGTTATCGTTGTGGTAAATGGGTTGAAATGGATCATCACAAAGCATTCATTTATTATCAAAAATCTGCAGAGATGGGTCACGCTTATGGAATAAATATTGTTATCAACATGGAATTGGAGTTAAAAAGGATGAATATAAGGCATTTATTTATTATCAGAAATCTGCAGAGATGGGGCATGTCGTTGGAATAAATAATGTTGGATATTGTTATCTTAATGGAATTGGGGTTGAAAAGGATGAAAATAAGGCATTTATTTATTATCAAAAATCTGCAGAGATGGGTTACGCTAAAGCGATACATAATGTTGGAGTTTGTTATGAAGATGGAACTGGAGTTAACAAGGATGAACAAAAGGCTTTTGAATATTATTTAAAAAGTGCTGAATATGGATTTTGTTGTGGAATTCATAACGTTGGTTTTTGTTATCAGAACGGGATAGGAGTCGAAAAGAATAAAGATTTGGCATTTGAATGGTATTTAAAATCTGCTGTTACGAGACATAATTGTAGTTATAACAACTATTTCAGTTGGATAGAATACGATAATTTTAGTAACATTGAAGAAGTAGGTAGAGGTGGCTTTTCCGTAGTGTATAAAACATCATATAAAAATCGATATGGAAGATATGAAGAAGTTGCAATCAAGATAATAAAAGATTCGCATAAAAATAATAAACTTTTCTTAAATGAGGTATTTTGTTTATTTACATGTGAATTTATATTGTTTATAAATTAATGATTGTATATACTGTAATTTGTTTATTTTAGTTAAAGGCGTATCATGAGTTTGGGAAATATCTTGGCATGTCAATGGATAAAAATAGCGGAGATTTTATTTTAGTGTTAAGTTACGCAAAATTTGGGTCATTACGTGAAAATCTTAAAGAAATATGTAAATTGGAGTGGAAAATTAAATTAAAAATATTATGCGATGTCGTTTATGACCTATCACATATTCATTCTAAAAAATTTATACATCGAGATTTACATTCTGGCAATATTTTGTTAAAACAACAATATAAAGCTTATATTACAGATTTAGGTTTATCAATACCGTTTGATGAAAAACAAGATGGCCATATTTATGGAGTTTTGCCATATTTAGCTCCTGATGTTTTGAAAGGCAAACGATTTACTCAAGCAGCCGATATTTACAGTTTTGGAATTATTATGATTGAAATATCAACTGGACAAAGGCCTTTTGATGGTTACAATTTTGATGCTGAATTAGCGGCGATGATTTGTCATGGGTTGCGACCTGAATT